GCAAGGCCCAAGCGCCGTCTGCGCTAAGCCACCAGAGCTACTCGTTGGGCCTCAACAGGGCCATCCCGTGTCCATGTATGAAAAAAAAAAAAGAGCGAAGAGAGAAGAGAAGAGAAAAGAAGAGAAGAGAAGGGTTCTGGGCGTTGGCCCTAAATCTAACGAAATACTCGTCTGCTGGACGAGGAGCACATAATGCGCCTCGTACGAGCCCTGCGAATCTCTCTTCCTTCCCTTTTTTTTTGTTCCACCCATATCCTGCTTTGGTTGGTATTATCTTTCATTCGCGTAGTACAAAGACGGACGGCCTGCTTCTTTGGAACACAGTCATCACGTGTATCATTTATAATAATACATCATATCCACGTTGGAACGACAGACGTCGCGAGAATAGAAATAGAATGGAATAGAATGGAATGGAATTTTTCGCTTAATACACGACTCGTACGACATTACTCACGGAGATACTCGGAATACATTTTTGTTGCATTCCATCGTGATCTTTTTGCAGACACGTCAAACCGAAAGACTATAAATTATCCTGCCTTTCGCGATCAGTAAACGTCAAATGAGAATGAGATGAGAACAAAATGCAAAGCGAATATTTAGTCGCGAATTAATGAACATTACTCTGAGCGAAGCGTAAACATATGCTTGCGAGACAGACAAATTGTCACGAGAGCTTCTACGAAGATGTTCTCGATTGTGGCTAATTAAGAGATCCAATTATCGATCTCACTCGGTAAGAAGGGCCCTCCCCGAGCCCCCGCTTTTAAAATAACATTTAGACGCGTCGGACCTTCCACGCACGTTTGCTCCTCGCGATTTATGCAAATTCGCGGGCTTTTGTTGGTCGACGCGAACCACTCCTGCCAAGAAAGATTCCTCGAACCATCAATGCGGACGGAGCGGCCACTTGCAACGTAGTATTCGTCCGCGCGAATGCAGAGGAAAGAAAGAGAAAGAGGGAAAGAGCGAAAGAGAGAGAGGAGATCGATTCACCTTTGGCGACTTTTTTCTACCGGTGCAGCAACCTCGTTCGCTCAAAGTTCCCTTTGCTGCTCGTTTTCGCCTTGGCGCGCTCTTGAAGATTCGTGCTACGACGCCGAGAAGACTAAGGGAACAAACGAACGAACGAATCAACGGACCAACGAACGGACGAACGAAGGAACGAACGAACGAACGAACGAACGAACGAACGAACGAACGGACGGACGGACGGACGGACGGACGGACGGATGGACGAACGAACGAGACCAGAGCCTGGAGTGAAATTTCGCTCGAATAAGCACACCTGACAGAACCCTTTCCGAGGGAAGGAACACCGTACGCCTCATCCTTTAACAACGAGAGACAACGGGGCTTCTTAACATGACACCTTGACGTTACGAGAATAATTATCTTGATTAAGAAATACCGGACTCGTAACATAGTAATAAGAGTAAAAGGCCGCGACCGGTCGAGGGCCCTCTTCTTGCGTCAGCTGGCCGTTTGTGCAAACGAAGATCGACTCATTATAAAGCCCGTGCGCGACTACGTAACCACGATGCTCGGGCCGCTAAGCCGGCTATACACACCGGCGTGCGAGGGATCAGGAACGGGCAAACACGTTTCTACAATGTAAAACGCAAACGTATCAACGGATGCGTGCAAACACGGACGTGCGTGCGTGCGTGCGTCCGTCCGTACGTCCGTATGTCCATGCGTGCGTGCGTGCATGCGTGCTCGCACTCGCTCAGGTGAATTCAGCCTAGCCGTGCTCGCTGCGGTACATCAAAGGAGGATTTGCGTACGGCGTAAGCCGGGGTATAAGCTGACCTGTTATCGCCGATGTAATTGTAAAGGGAATAATTCCGCGACGGGGAACGGCAGTACAGGAGCACACGCGAAATTCGAGTACCGGAGCCTGCGAGCTCCGCTCGAGCCTCGTGGTCGATGGCTCGTATGATTCGCGCACGCGATTTCGCGAAAAGCGGAATTATCAGCGTCTCCGCAGGCGAACACCGATGTTTCTCCCTCGAAACGAGATTCAATAACGCGGACTCGTTCAGACGTATAAACCGAGTCGCCCCGCCTCGCGCACTGTGACAAGTTTTGGCGAAAATTGTACAAACGAAAGTCGGAAAGAATGAAGAGAAAGACGCGATAAAATATCAGGTGGTATTCGATCGCGTGTAACTGCGTGTCGTTGCGTCATATGATATCCGCGTCTGATCATCACGATCGAAACACACGCCTATCCCTCGCGGGCGATGAAGTCATCAATTCGGGAAAGACTCGAAAGTATTCAAAGTGTTACATTCCCCCCGTCCCCCTTCCCCCTCGTGTTAGTTTAACGAGGCTCGTTCGCCGCTTGCGTGCCACGAGAAAATTCAAGCGTGGATCGCGCGGAGCTCGCGCTCATCAGAGTCGTCCTACAGCGGGGAGGAAAAGAGGGAAAAAAGGACAAGCCACGTATACGGGAACCGCACAAGGTCGAAATATCCTGCGCGCATCCTGCCTTTTTCCACGTGGTTCGCGGTAGAACCGCAGGAATCCCGTGAAGAAATCAGAAACAACGAGACGAGGACGGAGCGTGGTCCGAGAGGAAACAGCGGAGAGAAAGAGAGAAGGAAAAAGAGAAAGGAGAAGAAAGAAAGAGAGGCAGATAGAGGGAGGAAGGGAGAGAAAAAGGACCCGCTCATCAGAAGCAATAATACGAGGGTACCTGAGTAATAGCGAAGGTACAACATTGTACGTTTCTCTAGCAGCTTGTAATCGGAATGGAAATGCGGATCCTGCGGACGGATAGTCTCCGCTTCGGACCGGAATTTCTCGAGGAAGAGCGGCCAGTTCGCCTTGGCTGTACACGCCGTATAACGTCGCGCAGGTAATTAATATTATTTCACGACGACCGACATCCGCTCCTTTTAAAACCTCCCCCTTGCGCGTCATGCCTTACAATGTTGGCTGCACACGCCCCGATATATTTGAGTTATGGCAGCGGACGTGTCGCGCGCGGATCGAATAAAGTATATATGAGAGTACGAGACGGGTTACGTGCGTGGCGCGTACGCTTGACGACAGCGTGATTCATGATATCGCGTCGACTATTTCGTAGCTTCGTTAGATTTGTAATATTCGTTTTGTCGAAGCTTCTCAGACGCGTGCGACGTCTTCGCGACTTTACACAAGTCGCCGGCACGCGCTCGTTGCTTACAAATAAACCTACCCAAAAAGTACGCACCAATTTCTTTCTAATTTGTCACAAATGTAGAAGTACAAAAAATACTTAAGTCAAATTTTTTGATTTTGGCCCACTTTGAGTTTCACAAGTAGTTTATAGCTTTTTAATATTCTTACTCTTATTATCAAACAAGTACAACAAAAATGCATAAGAAATAAAATTGAATACAAGATATAGTTAAATAATTTTAACAAAATCGGCATAGCTGAGACACAAACCATTCTAAATTTCTTTAGGCGAGATTCCAACCAAAATATTTTAAATCTGTGCTAAATTAATCAAAATGGTTCAAATCTCGACCGAGAGAAATCTGGCAATTTTAATTAAAATTTTAATAAAATCGGCACAGCTGAGACATGAACAATTCTAAATTTCTTTAGCCGAGACATTTCAAATCTGTGCTAAATTCGTAAAAAATGGTTCGAATCTTGGCCAAACTGACAAATTATTTGTATAAATAATTTTTTTTCAACTTTTTACATGTTTTGTTTAAACATTTTATTATTTATACAAATAATTTTACACATTCGACTTCACATTCATAATCAGCAAACCAAAAACGCCTATATCTTGTATTCAATTTTATTTTTTATACATTTTTGTTGCACTTGTTGATGATAGGAGCGAGAACATTAAAAAGTTATAAACTGCCCGTGAAACTCAAAGTGAGTCAAAATGAAAAATATGACCTAAATATTTTTTGTACTTCTATATTTGTACCAAATTAGAAAAAAATCGGAGTGTAACTTTTGAGTAGGTTTACTTGTTAGTAACTTGTGTGCAAGTTGCATTGAACGTTATGTAAACGCTGTATAAATATACGCTGTATATTGTCTAAATACTAGAAATCTAAATACTAAAATGGTATTGCTTATATGCAACCCAAGTCGAAATTTTGATGCTCCCCATTGATTTTTTCTGTCAAGCGAGAAAAGCCAATAGAAAACGCATCATCTCAAAATTGTTTAATATTGAATTATCTCAACGTGTTCTGTCTGCACACACACATTTAATACTCTTGATTTCAGTAATATGATTTCATGTAATTTACTTAGCTGCAGATAGACTATGTGTAATAAGCAAATATTTAACAATTTGAATAAATAATAGGATTCATAGGTAAATAAAACAACATTTCCTTTTTTTATATCTTTGTTTTTTTTCTTTTTTTATCGGCGTTGGGAATTTCGGTAGGATTCAGAGATTGAAAAAAAATAAAAAAGAAGGAATTTGAAAAGCAAAAACTTTGCAATTAAAGATTTTTTAAAATATGAGGATATTTAAATATTCTAACAAAGAGAAAACAAAGGAATTGAAACATCAAGGATGACAGTTGCATAAACGTTGACAATGATTTAATTTCGTATTCAATACAATAACACAGCTGAAAAAGAGCACTATTAGAAACACAAATTTCAGCAATCGCTAGATTATATTTGTAGTTGTAAATTATTTATAATCTTTGACTGAGAAAATAATTATTTACAGATTTTTCTTTACATAAACTAATTGTTATTCAATTGTTTGGGCAATATCTATTTGTCTATCGTATGATATGAGTATACAAGCAGTCAAATAATAAAATGAATAATTTGAGGATGATATAATAAAAGATGCATAAAATTATGATCATTTTTCAAATGACAAACTACGAATATATCAGCCTTAGAAAAGATTTTAAATTTCGACTCGGGTATCTCCACACATTCTCGGTGAGTTTGCCTAAATGTCTGATAAAATCGGAAAAATTCTATGCAATTAACAATTTGACACATACCTTGAAATATATCGCTGCCTGTGTACTGACGTTCTACGTTCTGCGTTCTGATGCATTCTACTCTTGGCCGCTCCATAGTTCCTCAGGATATTCACTGGACACTCACTAACACTCGCGTGAGACACGCTTCAATCGGTGAAGCGTATGTTCGTTAACGCGATGCCGATGAGAGCCCGATTAAATATTACAATAGACGGTAAAATATCTCATTCACGCGCGACGAAGATTGCGAACAAAGCACCGATACTCGTGCTCCGCGTCGCGGTGTGTACACAGCTCGCCAACCCGAGTGTAATGACGCGGTTACGGACAAGGCGCGCGCGAGTACCAAAACAATCAACACCTTCAAAGTGGGGGAAGTTACTACCGGCCAATTGTCAACCGTCATAGTGTGCCTATCAATACACACGTATACGGTGAGCTGGAAATCACGATCACAAAATATTACAGATTTGCAAATTATCAAGTCGTTAATTATCAGTTAATTAAACTCACACACTGAAAATAGAAATTAAACACAGATAGAATATTTGGGATAATCGAATATTAAATAATTCTTAAAGAAGGCTATATTATATATAAATTGAAAAAATTATATGTTTAGATTCGCCATTAATCTTTTGCATACGATGGAATTTGCAGGAATTGAAAGTTTCCGAAATGAAATTTAATGTGAAACTTTAATGTAAAATTTCGACTCGGAAATATTCCTTTTCCTCTCGCGTTATCTTATAAATCGAAGAGCCACTCGCGGATACGTGGAAAACAGGAATGCGCGCGAGAAGTCTCGATACGATCTTGCGACAAGTTAATGACGCACGACTGATTTGATTTTATTACCGTTCGCGCTCAGCAATGCCGCGCCACCGGTATTACCTCGCGACGATGACGACGAGTTCAACGCCCTCTTATTTTCGATATAATATACACGTCGAGTTACCGTCACGTATGTGTCAATACCGAATAATGCTTCCGTCGCGTAACGGTATCCGGTTATGCGCAAAGAGGAGCGCTCGCTCTTTAACATTAAAATTCGATGTTAACGCACGAAATATAGGGAATCGCGACGCGACTTGGCGTCTCGACGAAGAGGCAGGCAGCTCCTTCTTAAGACATCACGCGCGCTTCTCTTTCCAAAGCAGAAGAATACACGGCTATTTACAGCCGTTAAGTGCGGTGACACCTGCGCGCGAGCATGTATACTTTCTCAGCTGTGCGTGCTCTTCAGTACGAGTTAGCCTTTCGTGGCTGCATAATTTAGAGATCTTTACTTGTCACTTTAACGTCGTACGCTTAAGCGAACACCATTATCGCGGAGCGCATTCGTAAGATTAAGCCTCGCTACATAATCCCACCGCCCCACTTGAGTACAACGCTAAGATCTATCTTTGCTCTTGAAACGGTGGCGCTCGGCGAGTGTCGCCTCGGACTTTTTCGAATTTTCCAACTTTTCTAATTTCACCTACTTCTTCGAGAATATGGGAACACTTGGCAGTGTTCGTGAAGCACGAGTGTCTCGAAGCAGGATTATGTTGCCCGATCTTACGCGAGATTACGCGAGTTTTCCGCTCGGTGCACATCGTTGGGATTAACAGGATCACCGCACGTCAAGCGTGCCGTGAAACGAAAAGTGATCGCAATAGCGATCGTGTTGCGTCGGGAATAAGCGTTATCCCTAGGACACGCCAACGCCGCGCAATCACACTCGTTTATGATAAAAATGTGCGGATTACAACGGCGGGTAGCAGATGAGAAGACGAAGTTCGCAAAATGTGTACATCACAACAGCCGTGAAAAAGATAAAAGGAATAGCTGCGAATGGAGACGATTTCTCTCCCCTCGCGTCCAATCCGGCGTTTTCCCATTTATCACCGGTGAACTCGTAATAACGAGGGATCATGGGGGACGTAACGAGATACGACGACGCCGCGACGCTTTAGCTTTGTGCTAGCTTATAATCAGAATGCAAATACAGAGCCCGAGGATGTATTGACTTCCGCCTGGAAGTTAAACCGTTAAAGGCGCATCTAATTGGCGTGATCTCTCAATTATGTCAGGCCCTTTGAACGCGGCCGGCTCCCGTTCTGCGTTGCGGTACCGCGGGCTCTCTCCATGTCTTTGAACTCCGCGTAGACTTTTGCTAACTTAATAACGAGAATATGACTTCTCCCACTCGACCACGAGACACTTCGTTCTTTGCTCGCGATCGCTGCGAGGCGGAAACCGCTGGCGAATTTTAATCATTTCAGTCAAAGACTTTTGATGTATTGCGAAGAGAGAAAAAAATACTCGCAAACTGGAAAGCACTCGACGAAATGATCCAGATGAAGTTCTCGTTTTCCGGCCTGTCCTCGCACACGGCTCCGCGCCTCCTCCGTCATACGCGATCGCGTGACTACCGAGGGAGCGTGTAGTAACCCCTGTATACGTCGTGATTAGCATCCCACTTGTAAGTTCTACGCGATATCTCTTGCGCAGATATACTTCAATTTGCCGAGAGTCTTGCCATTTGTCCCAATTACCGTCGAAATTCCTGATCGGCGTACGTGTCGCGACAGAAAAATCACCGGAAGCCACGCATTATGAAACGCGCGCGAAAGATTTGTTTCCTTTCCTTCGTCTTGGTCGCGCAACTGCGGTGGACACGATCGATCAATCGTTCCAGAATGCGTGCAAATCGCGTTTCCGCGGGCACACCTTTCGAAAGCGATTCAGCGGTTCTTACGCCACGCACGCACACAGGCAAACACCGGAGCGCTACAATTCAGACGTCTTCTCGTCGTTTTGCCGCGTAATTTAGAATCTAATTAGGAGTCACCTTGCTCTCCCTCTCCCCGTCACGAAGCAGTCGCATGCATCTGGCTGGATGCACGACTCCACGATTTTATGCATGCACGCGTGTACGCGCTTAGTCGAACGAGAGAAACATAAATCTCACATGAAACGAGCATTAACTGCGCGAACGCTCTGTGAGTTTGTAATTATAATGCGCGCGAATGAGGGGTACTCACGCTCGATACTCGTTCTACTCACTTGTTGACTTTGGGCACCGGTGGCTCGGCCTCTGCAACAGAAAGAAAAACAGGCGTGTGGCGTTACAAGGCTGACGGGTACACCACGGGCGTGAAAATCGATCGAATGATTAGCCTCCGCGATATGATTCGCGCCTCGTATGATCACGCGCGACACACTAACGTCAGTCCGGAACGGTGAAACGCGAACGTTAGAAACGTGCGCGTTGCAACGAGAGAACGGCGAGAATATACTCTCGGCGATGAGTAATATGCGATTAACAAGTGCGATCTCTATCGCTCTTCGTATTGTGCGTCCTAACAGCCACGTCTTTAAAAATTAGATATGTAAAAGTTCCGTGATGACAATAATATATTTTATTCGCCGCCAGCCAATTTGCATCAGCGTGCAGTATGCACCTGGCAACGCCCGTTTGCGTTGCGATATTGCCGGCGATAGCTTGGTAATCCTACATGGAAAGAATAACTCCGTTGTCGTGAATTTTCTGTTATCTTTAGAGGACAGATGAAAAACTCAGTTGTAGGAACAGAAAGATTCCGGCAAAAAGCTTCTATGCAGTTAATTGCTCTAAGTTATCTCAACCGAGTTTTAGTGCAACTAAATGTTCGAACAAATGCTCGCGATCGCAAGCAAGCTAGTAACAGAAAAATAATTTTTCATCAGTGAGTTTTTACTCACGTGTGCTTCAGTTGCACAAACTGAAACTTCTCCGTGTGATAATGAACGCAAGTAATCCGAACCCAGCATTTAATTGTTCGTTCTGCGAATAGACGCGTTCCGAATGCAAGCGCGAGAATAAGCACGCAAATAAACTTGAAGCTCGACACGCGAAATCACACCATGAATAGATGATCTCAAGTCGCGTCAAGTCGATGCGACACACGCAATCGTATTTCGCATTCGCGCCAGCGACGTCGCGTTTTTTCCCCGTGGAAAACGTCGCGCGAATAATGAGAGAAGGGAAAAGCTCTCTCTCGTTCTCTCTCGTCGCCGTCGTCGTGCAAGTGGATGCACGTCGCGTCTCGAAAACAAGCGAGGAACGGAAAACGAAGACGTGGAGGAGACGCCTTCATACCTACATACTTAGACGACTTGCTCGGCTGTTGCATGCCTAATTTGTATAATTTCCTAGTTTACAGGACAAGCACGACGATCTAGTGTCGTATCTAGCGCGTAAACGCACCGCTGTCTCCATCAGTCCGGACGCATCGGCGGCTCGCGCGACGTGTACAAGTCTTTTACACAGCATTTTGTCGCGTTAGCAGACATATGGCGTTAAAATTCCTCGCATGACAGACACACGATGGAGAGAACATTGTTTGCGTCACATTTGATCTCTCCCTTCATCTCTCTCCCTCTCTCTCTTTCTCTCTCCCTCTCTCTCCCTCTCTCGCTCTAGCTCGCTCGCTGTGTGCCGCTTCGGGAAGCTCGAAGATTTATGAGCGTAATGACATCGTACGGTTGGAAGCGAGGCCTCTGAGCGAGACTTGATTAACCCATTACGTTACGTTATATGGAGCAAGCACTTTATAATCGCGCGAGATCAGAAGAGTCGATAAGTCGAATATCATGAGAACATCACGACAGTCCGTCTCTGTGTTGCGTTAAACTCGTGGAAACGTACTCGCCCATGGCGAGTTAGTGTAATAACCTCGCCGAGTATCGCGATCAATGTACGCGCAATGTACACACGCGTGTAAAGAGACCATGAAATAGCCGCGTTATTTCATCGATTCACTGCGAATGTCCTCCTGAAAACATTATCGGGACGTCGATCGGGATGTCCTCTTCGTTAACAAAAATAAGAAGCTATTTTTCCTCTGTAATTTCGAATAAACTGGCAAAATTTTAACCGCGAGGATCAACCGTGAGATTAAATATCCGATGTTGTAAATTGCGAAATCGCGGAAAAAATGAAGCCTTGAAGGCCGAGGAGGATAACGTTCGACGATTTATCCCCGCATCCTCGCGTATGAGGCGAGTTTTCGCACGGACGTCGCGTAAAAACGCCATCTGAGATCCCCCCGGTGGATAGACCGGTCGCAACAATGAATCCTCGGCGAGCGAAATAATTCTGGCGATCGTGCGCGGATGCGAAATAATTCATCCGGTGTTTCCGCAACACACGGGACTCGTGTGCGGCGAGTGTTGCGCGGCCGTGCATTCGCTGATATCTCGTCTCCGTGGGTACCGCGCGCGCGAACCCTGACCGTACGTGGCAGATAACGTATGGCTTTCGTGGATTTTCCGGTTTCTGCCGGCGCGGAGATAAGGAAGGAAACAGGAAACGACGGCGCCGTGGACGTTGCACGTGAGGTACATGCCCGATGAAAGCGAGCCGTTTTATCGCGCGGCGCTAAGGGAAATGAGTCGTTAAAGCGCCGATCATTTTTCAAGTCTCGTCTCCTCGCGCAAAATGCCCCGCCGGCGCATATCCACTCGGATCCGCGAGGGTGCCCGCCCAGGTACTCGCGTCGTGATGCGAAGGAATACTCGCATTCGCACAGTCGATTGTAATACTGGCTGTCGTGTTTCCCAACGATAACTTCAAGTTTTCGCCGCGGTCAAAAATTACTTTCTTCGACAGCGGTTTGAAGTTAGATTTAAGCTCACAAATTTAATTTAAGTTTAAACTACTATTGAAAATCGGTTCCGAGTGTCTTAAGCTCGTATTAGATTAGATAGATGTTGAATGTATTTCACGGTACTAGCCGAGACAAGCATCACTCTGTCTCTTTGTATGTGTTTCATATTCAACGATTAATAAAGTTAAAATGATACTCACGTCGACTTGTATCACTGGATGTAAAGGCACTCGTATAAAATCAAGTATCGCAGATTGAAGACTGGAACCCGACTGACCGGGCTGAAAACGAGCCAAATCAAAGTTACCGGACTCGTCGGAATTCTGATGTCTGATCCGCAATCCGCAATCTCCCTGATCTGATATAGAGGGCTTCACGGAGGCGCGCAACACCTCTCTCTCTCTCTCTCTCTCTCTCTCTCTTGTACTTTCGTCCAAGGGATAGCGTTTTACTCGTCGCCGTGCGCGTTGCCGGAGTGGCGATCGCACGGCCGCGGGAACAATGTCCCGCGATGCGTATTCCGGTGCGCGCGGAACGCGAGCGCGAGCCGTACATCCGTACGCGAACGCACACCGCGTGCGCGTGAACGTGCGCGGGGAACTGGTAGAAAAGAGAACCGGCGACGCGCTCGGTAAGCTACGACGAAGGTTAGGCTATCTCACGGCGTGGATCTAAACGTTTTACCGTGTATGCGCACCACTACCGCGCGCTCATACGCACACATACGCACGTACACGCACGTATGCACGCACGCACGCACGCACTCATGCTCTCGCGCCAGAGTACATTGTCATTTTATGGACAGATAGGCCTCGCCACGGTGAGCAGCTAGCAGACGCGTACAATTTACGCGTCTAATTGCGCCGCTATCAATTTCGCTCGCCGAGTGAGACATTAAATCGCGCGATTCGCTAACGAGTGTCCGTCGTCGTTTCGCGCGTTTTCGCCGTTTTCGCCGATCTTTCCTCCTTCTTTTTCCGTGCTTTCATCTTCCCCCTCTTTCACTGCCGTCGGGAATAGAGGGAGAAGAGCCAATAATCTCATGATAGAAAAATCCAAGTACTGTAATTGTTCGACTTTGCAACGCTTCCTTTTTCTTGCCTCGATAGAAACGTCGAGTTTCTCGGTCAGAGTTGTTCCAGCCTACGCTTTAATTATCGACGCCTCAACTTCGTGACAACCGGTATTCCCGCGAGTTCGCCACCGAAGATGTCCGCGACAAATGTAATATACTCTCCGTATAATTCTCACATTGTAGTCTCAAGGCTAAACAGGCCGCGCGCGTATATATGAGGGGAATCGTTTAGTTTTTCGGGTTTGCGCGGGGGATCCCGTTAAAAGTGACCATGTGAATTCGCACTTCAAGGCCTGTCCGGAGGTGTTCGCCGGTGGAGTTGGGTTTCGCCGTCGCGCGATCGTCGCGACCCGATCGCCGTTAGCATAACATTATACGCGTGACGCAACCGGCAAAAGGGGTAAGAGCGGAGACGCGACCGTATGCCTGACCGGTCGTAAAGAGTAGACAAACGTACGTTGTAGGATTTAATTACATCGTTGCGGGGAAGAGTGATCGCTGGAACTAGCAGTGTCACGCCTTTTAATCCGCGGACACCTCGGTTATTACTTCCCGCGGCTTTTTAAACTTGTCACCGCACCGCCGTCGCTGCCGTTAGCCAACGGGCGTAAATAATGCGGCTTTCTCCGTTCCGTCGCGTTTACTGCTGCCTCTTCAACCCGCGCGCCCCATTAGCGCATTATTTATTAACAATACCGCGCAATCCTAATTCACGTGAGCCGACCGAGATCACGTCGCGACGCTTTCCTGTCGTGTTTTATTCGCGAATTTCGGAAGAACGAAGAGATACTCGCGATCCTCCCCCGAAAGTGACAGGACAAAGAGTCCTTAATTTTATTTTACGAATCTTCTCATAAAACTTTTCGTACTTTACGATTGACATACTCGACAGCTTGGAAGAGGATTTATCGCCTGTTGTCGATAAAGAGGATTAGTTATCTCTTCTCCTTTGCTTTGTACTTTTTTTGGTTAACAGTTATCATGCTTATGGGTTAAAGTCAATATTAGATTAAGGTTTTATCGGTAGCAAAACAATGTAAAACGTCATCTATAAACTGACGTTTAAGTAACAGCATAAACTGCGCGATAGGCTATATTATCTGTGTACATTGATTAGGTGTCGCAAGCGAATGATTGACATCCGTGTGCATTAACGTGTGCCGTCCATCACACTTATCGTTCGAACACTTTAATGTGCCTGATCAGCGCGAAGAGAGAAAGAGAGAGAGAGAGAGAGAGAAAAAATAATCAGGCAAACGCGTGATCGTTGCACACGTGCCATCGACCTGAAAAGCGCAGCGTGATCGCTGATCTCT